ACAAGAAACTCCACGTACGAGGGCCCACCCGCTGTCCTGTCCTCTACCATATACGATTGGAACAACATTCCTGAGAGAAACAGAGGGTACAAGATTAATTAATCTCTGCTAACCGGAAAATGTTATAAAGTAACTTCGTCATCAATTTTGCAAAGCTAAGAGTATCTTTGAAAGCTAACTCACCTGTTGGATCTCCCTTCTTGCACAATTTAAGGCTGCAGGGAGAGAACATGAAGAGAATTTATACGGTTAGAACATAATCAATCCGCAAGAAAAGTATGATTTTATAAGATACTGAGACTTTGTTTAATACCGTAGGTAAGAACTTCTTTGCCTCCTTATTTCATTCACCACGTCATTGAACTTCTTTGATAGCTGATTATCATACTTCTGCAGCACATACTGTGAAGCAAAACAGAGTCTCATGTTAAGCAAGTTTCACCAACGTCAGAAAAGAGTTTCCTCTATCATTTTCAATAACGTGATAATATATGATGAAAAGATAGCGTGAAACATGGATGGGCAAGTAATCATGAATGATCTTTAGGAAAAAGTAAAAAATAAAATAAAGGGAAAATGGTTCCATAATCTGTACATGCAGAAACCAACACACTCAGGTAACAGTCAGATCCTACAGTATATATCATGTGCCAAGGTGATGATTAGTTTACCTGACTTGGAATGTCAGCAACTGAGGAAACATCAAAAAGCTTCTGCAGAATGTTTGGATTTACTGATTCCCCAACATATATAAAACTATCATCACCGTTCTCAAGAAAATAGACTCCCTCATCGCTAAGGTGTTCACTTGACAATGGGATTGGAGAAGGAACCACAGCTGCTTCATTATCCTGATAGATCAAGGAACAATCATCAAAACTTTTGAGTATATTAAGGCATAACAACTCCAGAGCTAAAAATATAGCTCCATACATTTGCATCAAGGTCATGAACAGCAATCATCCTTGGATAAACTAGCGGAATTGCCAAAGGAGTAGACAATGAAGACACATGGTTTATCCAAAATGATCGGTCATCTATTCTCCCATCCGTCCGTAAGCCAACACCTTTGGTTAAGGCTGAAAAGGAAAAATAATGAGATCTCAAGTTCTGCTCTACATTGCTATATGGTGCACTCAGCAATCAGAAAAATGAAAAACAGATAGAACAAAATACAAAGCAAAAATAGTACCATTAGTTCACGAAAAAGAAGATTAAAATACATCTTAATGAAAAATAAATTCTAACTTGCTCACTCATACGATCAAGTATGAAGCATGTTACAATGTCTCAAAAGCCACACATAAAGCAGAAAAGCAGTACAGCCTAAATGCCTTTTATGCAAGCACATGTATTGCATATCCATATCCCAAGTAATTCAAAGGCAAGAATTAGGCAGCGGACATACAATTTAAATTAACTTCTGATTCAAGACAAGTCATAGAAAGTGCCTTGCGCACAAGGAGCAAACCAACCTAAAGAGGTGTACTTTTTGTGTGTTCAAATTGATTAAGAGTGCCAAGGAAATACCGAGAGTATATAGTGGCAAAAGCTTGAGTGCTTCAGGAAGAATAAGTTGTCCGGTTGATGTAACTGTTGCGCAGAATTTACGATATGAATAGAGAGTGCTGACACAACTATTAATTGCTTGCTCCTTTACCAATGGAAGTGCCTTGGAAGGAATCTCATTAGCCGCTACATAAAAAAGCACCAAATGATATTCTCGAGTTTTTATCATTACAGAAACCCGTTCAAAAGTATATGTACATAAAGACAACATGGTTAGCAGTAGAATAAGAGCCAAAGTAAAGACGCTTACCTTGTTTCAGCATACAAGCAAATTGGGAATCTAGGTCAGCGGAGCGGAACAAGTTACTGAGCATGTTTGTACAAGGGAGTGATAAGTTAATCACCCTAATTCTTCTTTCCCCAGATATGGTGGTATACAGAAGGGCACACTGAAAACCACAGAAATATCATCAAGGATAAACATTTTATGAGATGAAGTGTACCAACATTTCGGCCACGTAGGGTCGCTTCAAATACTATTTCGAATGGCTTATTGACATAAGTCCAAAATAAACCTGAAAACCACATTCAGCTCCATCTTGTAGTTTGTCATCATGCTTTAATGTCACCATTACAGCTTTGTCACAGTCAATCTGCACGGTAAGGTTCGTCAAAAAAGAAGCAAATTAATACCAGAGTGCTTTTCCAGGTAACTTGCGACAGAAAACAACAGTGTTTCCCTCTTGACTAGCATTATACTTTTTAGACAACAAAGTAACAGGAATATTCCTAGTCCCAAAATTCCTTCATTTTTGTTATTGACAGGAAATAAACAGATACACACAAGCTATTAGAGAAAACTAATTGTATATTTTAAGGAGGATGCACCCACCGCAGGTAGATCGATGTCAGTAGGTATACGCTTACAGAAGTTCCCTGAGTATTCTTGCACTTGGATACCCTATAATAATCGGCAAGAGATGTATTCATCAATATGACCTCAAGCTGAATTTTGCATAGTAATACATGGACAGAAGTCTCTTCCACAAAACATTACCTGACTGCATCTGACTCGCATGACAGCCTCAAAACCCTGGGGCCTAGTGATATTCCATCTAAGATCGTTGTAAAGCTTGGGAGGATCTGAAAGAGCTGAGAAAGGGTAATAGCAATAAACCTGGAAAAAATATAATGGAAAGTTAAAATCAAAGAAAATGGAAAAGGTTGAGCTACAAATCCATGAGTAATAGAATCCCCAGGGAAGACGTATCAAGAAGGGAAAACCTTCAGGAATTCGAGAAGGTGATGCACGTGTCACGGTAATACAAAAGACGGGTATTTACATGGAAAATAATCAAAATACAGTGACGAGATCCACTCTATTAACAAGAAGTCTTATGACTTGTGTAAGTTTTATCCATCATTACTGAAAAAATGCAAGTCATTAACAACTAAAACGAATACATGATAACCTCAAAGATAAAGACTATTAGAATCTACCTGTCCTCCAGTAGTTCTTGGGATGTCAGAAATTGAAGCCATGTCCACATAGGCCTGAGTTGTGATGAATATATCTACACAGACCTGAGGCATGTCTGGATGCATTAGATAGGGAAGAATATTGCAACAGCTAATAGAAAGTGATACGCAGATGGAAACACTATTGGTTAATTTCCCACATCAGATCTATTGGTATACCTGGTATTCAGCAAATTCAATAGCCATGGTTCTTAAAGTTTTGTCCGCGGGTTGTAGTAATTTATGGGCCTCCTGAAAATGATATTAAAGAGAATTTACTTTCACTAATGACACAAGAAGCTGAGGATCAGATGCCATTCAAAGGTTCTAAAACAAAACAAGCGAGGAAACGAAACCAAAAAATGCATTAAGAAAACCATTACTTCAAGCCCTTTAACACAGAGGTCAGAACGCACTTTAAGAAATAAATAAAAGACCTGTACCTTTTCCTCTGCAGAGGCATTAGCTCTCCCATCGGCCTCTCTAGAAGAAAGTGCTCCAATGCCAACAGAAGGCAAAACTATGGGGGAGATGGTAATCTTATCAATCAAGTTATATAGGTAGCAAACAGTAGAACATGTAAATCAAGGTATGCATTTCAGGTGATTCAAGATGTATAGATGGATTCCAAGTGACTGGAAACAAAAGCATTAGACTATAGGCCCCAATAGAATAAGAAGTATACCTGATTGAAACACCATGAGCTTTCCTCCAGTGCTCTTCATCGCTAAGAATGCGGCCTAGGAGGAAAAAAGTTGTAGATACGTGAGTTAACAGCATAAGGAGAGCAATGTCCTTAATATCCATCATTTATCCCAAAAATAGTGTGATTACACTAAAGATGATCCAAAGGCCATCTGAGCTTCGCTACCCAGCCACAAAACCAACTTAAACTTCCTTGATTACTTTTCCACAATGATTGACCCATATATAGTTAACGCTTATTAATTAGTCGACTCGTAAAATTGAGGATACCATTTAACTGCATCTAACTTCTACTTTAACCACTTTTTGACCATCACATACCTTAACTGCTGCACCAAAAGCAGATTCAGGGCTCTTGCTTTCCTGAAACATTGTTGGGATACTTTCCAGCAAAATCTCTAGGTGTTGACGGCACTGAATTCCAATTGAATAAAGTAAATATCAGAGAGAATAAGAAAGAAATTCGGATAACCAATTTAAGCATAGCAGCCAGCTGTTGACCAAAGGTAAAAAAAAATACGCAGGGCGAGCCCAGAAAGAACTAAAACAAGTGGCCAAGAGCTTACCTCAGATAGCTGAACAATGACATCTGTTTCTAAGGGTGTATAAACATCTTGAACATCAGGAACAATGAGCATCAACGGCTGCATGTAAGCAGGGCAATCAAATTCACAAGAAAAACATCAAGACTTTTTTCAAACTAGAAAAAGAGAGCACACATTCTGGAATATGATAGCAACACAGGAAACATTTTCAAAACTGAATGAATCTGTTTCATATTAAAAATTATATAGGCTGATCGTCATGCCAAATGCATTGAAGAGTTCAACTGAAGAAAAATAAGCAGTATAAATTTATTCAGCCAAGTGACACAGAAGAAATCGTTGCAGCAAGATAACACCTTCACATCTATAATACCGAAGGCAGAAAGGTCGGCAACAAAAATATGACTCCATTCCCCCTTTTAAAAATTTTAGCAAAAGAAACAAGGAACTAACTAATGTAGCAAATTACCTGTTGCAGTGCACGCTTCAAATTATAAAAGTGTATTGTTGAGTCAAATGTGGCAATTCCAACAAATGTCCTAGGACCTTCCTGCAAAATGCATACAAGACTTTGTTAAAAACATATAATGATTAATGGAAACATGTCTATTAAAATCATTACTCTAGTGACCACAGCCTCGCCTATATTCCCAGATCATTAGTCATGCAGTGGAAAAGTTCATCAACTATGTCACATCAGCAAATTAGTCAGTGCCTATAAATCGGAGATGCTTCTGTTATTAGTCATGTCATGGAGTATAAACAGAAGATTATTCTGATGTTCTAGGGTATTGAGAATTTTGGGAATTAGTTTGGGTATGGAAGAGTAGAGGATGTTCTCCAATTCGTCCCTGAGTATCTATGATAAATTCTTGGGTGTGATTTCCTCTTTTATTCTCTGCTAGTACTTTGGTGCATAGAGATATAAAGTGGTTTACGATTTCGTACCTAATAGATTTAGGAAAGGAAGGGCTTTGTATACTAGAGGGTATGATAAAACAGAAAGCAAATAGAAACGATCACTGAGGATCCCCTAAAAAAATTTCCGGCAGGGACATTTACTTAATTCTATGACTACCACCTAACATTTGTCAAGCATACAGCCTACAGAAACAAATGGATATTCAACCCAAGGAAGGTAATGCAGCCGTTTAAAAAAGAAAAAGAAATACATGTAAATCACTGTAAAGAGCGAGAAAACTTACAGGAAGATCTGAGAGGACTTGCTGGATTGCACTGCAAGCAGCTGCGGTTGCACCTGTTTGAATTGCATTCATTGAGACATCAATGAGGAAGAAATACACTGCTGGCATTGGATCTCGTACCTGTAAAAAAGATACTGATAATTATCCCATCTGGACCAAGTAGCCTGCTTTGTATAACCAAGCAAATCTAAACATCATAATCTCCCATTCCAGCACAGAAATTTAATCCCTTAGCGAGAAAGCAAAACTTAATTTAAAGAATTGTTTTTGGTTTGTAGTCGGAGACCACCTCAAAGAAAACTGACATCTTATGGAGGTATCATAATTTGACGTAAATTAATAAAAAAAATTCACAAACTAACCATATATTCTTTTGTCGCAACAAAGTCAACAGTTCCCCTACACAGCTCAGGCCTTTCATCGGCATCCCTACGTCTACCATCTGGGCCCAGATTACACTGGTAGTCACGGGGAGTCTCATCAGTGTATCCTGAGCATAGATTGTAGATGAAATAATGGATCACAAAAACATTCCACACTATTAAAGTAATGATAACAATTCATGGGGAATCACTTCTCTTCAGGTCATATTAGCATCTTCCTTAACCAGATTCTTTTAGGTGAAATCCAAGTTCCCAGAATATTTCTTTCAATTCAGTAAGATAACCCAGAGTTTACTTCTAGCGTAGAAAATTCTTAGTTTTCTCAAAACTTGGTACTCACCAGTGCAGTTGATATAGGTGTAACTTATTATATATGGCTTTTATTTGCCGAAACAGTAATACTTACCACACAAGTTGCAAATGAACTTCCTTCCTTGATCTATGAACTTCATGAAAGGATTCATGTAGCCCTTACAACGTGAACATCTAACAGGGCCACTCTCACCAAAGTCCACAACCTGCTCAATAACATATGTTCATCTCAAACATGACTTTTTTTTTTTTTGTAAAATTCTCAAAGAAGCATTAACTTCAGTTTTCTTCCGTTAAAAAGAAAGGAATAGAAACATAAAGTTCTATATTCAGCTGGAAACTGCAAGGACTGAACGCCAATATGACAAGAGAGACAGTAAAATATAAACAGTGCAAAGAATGAACGCCAAAACTCTTTAAGCGATCAGAAAAGGCATTATAGGAAGAGTTCAATCTTACTTGGATAGGCTCTTCAGATGGATGAGAAAGCGCCATCGGTTGGACAATTAACGCCAGTTGCATACCAGATGTAGATAGAAGATCAACAGTACATGGGATCTATTGTGGAAACAGGGAAGCAAGGTATCAAGATCCGGGGTGAGGGGACACAGTAGGTCAATACTTAAACCACAGAATTACATTTGGCTCAAGTCAATTAGCTTCATAGTTACCTGACTGATTGTGCATCGCATAAAACGTGGACTGCAATTTCCAGTGTCTCTAGCAATATAATCAACAGTAGTAGGCTTCAAAAAAAGAAAAAGAAAATGAGATTCAGGGGAAATAAATAGTTTAACACAAACTCACTTAATATAAACAGTAACTTCCCAAATGAATATCATATGACATACCGGTGGAGGACTAGCCTGATTCTGCTGGCGAGTTTCAAACACTACTGGACTGGTGCTTGTACCTGGCCTTGGGATCTGATTAAGATCAATCTTTGAGGGGCTAGACACATTGGTCATTGATTGATTTGGCATTGGACCCATGCTATATATTGAACCAGGAGTGCCAGGAGTAGAAGAAAGCTACCCATTTTCAAAGTTCAAAGCAATCATAATGTGTCACACAGAGGAAATACACCATCACTTGTGGAATAGAAGAAAGGCACAACTCTGAAGATACCACATAAATTGTTCTCTATTCTATTACTAGCCAGAATCTTGTTCTGCATAAATTAATATTGTTCCCTTCTGGAAAGATCCAAAGTCACATCAAGAACAAGTTTTACTATCATACTGATTAAGGCATCGCATGTTTCATCAATTCATAAACATACATAATGAGCTTCAGTGGATGTACCTGTTGTGGTGGTGCCCCATAGGGAAAGCCTCCTGACATGGCTGGCCTGCCATAAGGAGCACCAGGAAAAGTTGTTGGCGGAGGCATAGAATGAGCAGGAGACGAAGTTAATGGTGAACCTCCGGGAAGAGGGCTTGCATTGGGAGGCTGTGCATAGGGTGGCGGTGGAGCCATCATAGGACCAGTTGTGAACTGAGATCCTCTGGGAAATGCCGGTGAACCCATCATTGGAGGTCCATTAGTCATCGGACCACCTGGCATGCCAGAAGGCGGCATGGACATGCCAGGTCCCACAGGTGGAGGTGAACCAAAACCAATCAGGCGTGCTCCTGAAGGAGGACCAGCAGCTACACTGCCTGGTGGACCTGAAGCTGGTAAACCACCAGGCTGCGGAAATGATCCACCACCAAGCAATGGACCAGTGGATGGTCTGGAGCCAAACGGTGGCTGGCTAGAAGGTGGAACAGCGGGTCTTCCAACAGGGAAATTTGATGGAAACCCGCCAGGTTGTGATACCTGAGGGGGCCCACCTGGTCTGGTCATGGCAGGAGGAGGAGGCCCAGGCCTAGCCATTGGAGAAGGCCTGGGTTGTTGTTGAACCCCATGGGAAGGGGCTGATTGAGGAAAAGGCTGTGGTGACTGACCAAAAGGTGGAGATGGTCTAGGAGCCGAACCAGGCATGGGAGGAGGTGGCCGGTTAATGTTCAAGTTTTGCATATTAGCAGCTAAAGAATTGGGGTTTCCTTGAGGAGCAGAGTTTTGCGGGTTGTTGGGTCTAGGTGCCCCTGGGGGCATTGGAGCAGCCATGCTTGAATACCAAACAGATCAAATCCTAAAAACCTCTTCAAACAAAAATCAACGAATCCAATTTCCAAATCTACGAATCAAAATCATATGATGATCATCAGCAAATGCGAATAACGATATCAAATTCCATGGTGAGCGACGAATCGTAAGCGATCAGTGATACTAAAGGGAAGATCAGAAATAAAAATAAAAAATAAAAAATCGTATTACCCGTAAATCAGAGAATCCTCGGATCTGTAAAATACACAGAAAACATCAAAATGCAAAGATCAGATCTGAAGAATTCGTGATTGAAACGAATAGGGTTTAAGAGAGAGAGATCAACGAGGGTAATTGCAATTCAATAATAACCAAAACATCAAAATGCAACAAAGATTACGAACCTGGAAGAGTAGAAGGAGATACGAGTATGTATGTGAGTACCGATGGAGAAAACTCGAGTGAAGAGAGCTATGGTTGGGTGCCTTGGAAGCTAAATAAATATAACAGGTTAATAATACATACTCGTAACGTAGCGTCGATTCGAACCCGAGGCACTTGATTAAGATCCGGTCCGGACAGAACCGTCCGCGTTTCACCTAACGTTCATGTTATTTTGGTTCGGCTCGGTTCAATTGGATTTATACCAAATATTTTCTTCTTTACTATATGATAAAAGGGAAAGTATCTGATAGAAGGAAAGTATGACATTATCTACCCAATTATAATTTAGCATGTCACTTCTATTTTAGATTTTTATATTAAATTTAGATCTCTCGGACCAAAACAAAAAGCAAGAAAAATCTCTTTTTATGTAATGAAAAAGGAAAACATTTTTTTTTCAAAATAAATCAAAATCTCAAACTTGTACTTTTTTTTGACCAAAAACAAATATTTAAATCTAGACGACGTTGCGTTAGCAATAGAAAACCACTATTCTTTTTAGTCTATCTAGCTGATGCCGGTTTTGATGTCAGTTGTATATTTCTTTCTATTTTTATAAGATTATTAGATTACGAACAAGTGATGGTTCTCCTTTCTCTCGCACGAATTAAATTTATGTCTGTTTTTCACATTTGTTTTATTTTCTTTTGGAAGAGCGTTTGTTTGACGATTTTGATCTCTGATTTCTCTTGATTAATTCACTCGGTGTAAGTCCGCCAAGTGAAGTCTCTAGCGGTGGGTGGAATTTGTTTTGTTGGGATGAAATTCAAATTTCTAAACCCACTTGGATCTTCTTCTACATACAAGGCCGCTGTATCTCTACAAGCCAATTAGTTATATTTGAGGAATTGGACAATCATGTCATGGGTGGAGACTTCTCTCCCGTCGTATCTCTACAAGCCAAATAGTTACATTTGAGGAATTGGACAATCATGTCATGGGTGGAGACTTCTCTCTATTCAGAAAGAATGTTTGTTTGCATTGGAAAAAATCTTATTGGCAATCACCATGGAAGATAGCACTTTGCGAAAATAACCATGTATGCGAGCGTAG